TTTGTAATAATATACGTTGCTGTTCAATGTAGTAACGCTTGACGCGAGAAACGCGACGCAAGGCAGCAGCATAAACAGCTTCGTATAATCGTAAAGGTCGTGTTGTAGATGAGGTGTGAATCTCATTAAACTGCCCGAACGCTATTATGTGCTGCAGTCTTGCCTCAAGAATGACATTTCGCAAAAAAACATGGCAAGTTTACCGGCGTCGAGCACCTGAGTAACGTATTGTAAAGTCGCTGTGCGGAGCAAGGGTTCACAAGCGGTTACACACATCATTTACTCCCACAAGATTGATATATGTAGGCTATCTAAACATATTTTATGTTTAGTACATATATATTTAAAGAAGATATTCCATAACTCACGGTTATGCGGGGAATATTCTTCTTGCCCTGATAGCCAGACATCTTCGTTATGCTCTTATTGCCTTTGATGAACCGTTATCACTGTATTAGTAACGGATGCAAGGATCTGCTTGGGAGGGGAAATGCCTTGGTTTCGGACAGATTTTGTAGTCCTAATGGAATTCAGAAGCGAATGGAGGAGGCAAAGCGCTGGAAATGTGAAGGACAAAGGACCTGTGCCCAATATCTCCTCTCCACTGATGCACCAAGTCCACCCAGACTGTCTGAGACAAAACGAGTGATTTTCTTAGCGAAGAGCAGCGCGCAGGCGCACAACCCCGCCCTGGACAGCCTGCAGCTCCTCCTCTGAGCCCAGAGAGGGTGATCAGTCATTCAGACAATGGTTTTAATGGCACGCGAATCAGTGTTTGCATGATCAAAGATGAGGGAAAAATCATATAAAACAAAGGCAACACAATTGTTTCAGCAATGAATTTATCCTAATTGTGTGCAAATGAGTATGCAGTTTAATAAAAAGCTTATTGGCCTGACATGTTTCTCTGAATAAATTAATACATTAATAATTAAAAATACATAAAATGCAAATGATAGCGATAAAGATGAACATTCCAAATATCAATGTACCTCAGCATTGTGCAGTGTTTCCAATTTCAGAATGAATCTCTTCAGACTTTTTATTTTTTATTTTTTCAAATTATTAATTAAAATTAACATTTGATTATTATTACACATTTGATACAAAGTCAAGGAAAAATACTCAATATTTAGAACTTTAAAAAAGAGCTTATTTCATCCTGGCCAGATAAAAATTATTTTGTCCGTAATGTTTGTTAAAATTAGCCACATATTTACAAATAAAAATGTAAAAGTAAAAATTAATTAATTATTCAATCAATGAATGAATAAAAAATGTTCACCTTTATTAAAAAAAAATCATAATTATTGTTTACTACAACTATTATTTACTCAATCACACACTTCATGACTTTCATAGTCAATCATCATTTGTACTAAATGCACTTTAGGTTTATTTTAATGAATATTTAAATATTTGCTTATGCATTAAAGGTATTTTATTTTAATGATAAAGTTTAATTTGATTAATAAATAATAAACAAACAAACAAACAAACAAATAATAATCAAATGATCAAAAATCTTTTTATTATTGTAAAAACGGTTTAAAATAAACTGCTAAATAAAAAAAGTTGCATGCACAAAGCAATGAATGTGTCTACAACGATTTAAAAATGATTTTTACATATCAATATACCCATAAAATGCCACCACATTGAATGGGGTTCCTCAGATTCTCATTTTGAGCAGCACAACAGCCGTGTGCACAGTAGAGCTAAGGCAATAATAAAACCATACTTCAGAATACCTTTAAAATTTCAGTGTATATAATGCGCAAAGACTAAAGCTCAATATCCGGGCCTTTCTGACTGCTCTCAGTGCAGCAGACTGAACATGCTATTGATCTCTGCAGTCATTACGGTCTATCAGTGAAGGAAAAAGCATAGGAGTGGCTTTAAATCACACTTGCCAAACACACCACAATTTCCTCTTTAGTAGACTGAGTGACATACTGTAGTGCTTTCTTGATCAAAGTATCATCTTACCACGCATAGTCAAATTGAACACTCTGCAAAGTAAAACAGCTTTACAGTTTTCTTTTCCAATGTAAATAGGAATGGCAATTCTGAATATAAAGAGGAAACAGGAATATGAGATTTTTAACAGTTCCCAAGTTATTGCTCGGAAAGCCCTGTTGGGATGAACTTCAATCAAGGCGCAGCATCACTCTCCCTGTAGCCATGGTTACCACATCCAGATACCACACATAGAGATTTAATTATTGGGCTCTAAGGAATAAGAAATGACTGTAAAAAAATCGTATCAGATGTTTTAGTCATATTTCTTTTATTTCAAACATGATTTGTTGACAGTTAGGTATCAGCTTACTGATAAATTGCCATTGGAACATTATATAAAATATTAAAACTTTAAATGAAACCTTTAAAAATATAATGATTTTAAAATAAATGAGGAATATGGTACAGTCAGTTAGCTGCTTGTAATCACAAAAGAAACAGTAAGCTTTTGCTTCAAAGGGATGCATTTGATGATGATGTTTGTTGACAGTATGTCATCTCACGTTGCTACTTACTGACATTTTGACATGAGAATAAAGTAAGTGTAGAGTGATATGATTACAAAAAAGTCAAATATACAGTTAAGAGGCTGTACAAAATATGCAGTAAAATAAGTCATTGCAAATGAATTGATAACACTCAAAGACTTTTTTTCTGCAGTAATGACATAAAGAAGAAGAATTATTGGTTCCTTTAAGAATCTTTCAGATAAAAGTTGTTAAAGAATAGGGTAAATGTCGAAACATGCTAATAGGACTTTTTGCCAGTAACCTGGGTTAAGCTCTTCCAGTCAATTCTATGCCAATGGAAAAATTGGCACATTTAAGTTCAGTTTTCTTTAAAAATCAGCGATCTTCACTGGCTGAGTGATATCGGATATAAAGTGGGTCTCAGATTGTACAAGAAGCACTGCATTAAATTACATTTTCCCCCCGCCATGTCTTAGTAATATGAGCATTTATTTTACCCCAGTATTTTCAATGGAGCTTCTGCACTATCCTGCCGATTCTGATGGGCATGTGCAAGTAAACGGCTTTTTGTCTCATTTTACGCTTGAGCAACTATGAATGCCAAAGTTTATTAACTGACTGTATTTTAACTACATTACAACATTAATGCTGTAAAAGGAACCGTAAGAATTGGGAAAAAATGTACAATAACAGGTCACCGGAAGTTTTTCAGTATGGGATAAACACTAGCTCAGCATATACCCCATTGTTTTTTCTTTTTATGAACAGAGAACTTTTAAATGATGCAAATGCATTTTTTTACTAAAAAAAAGTAATTTATCTGTTACTTAATTTCACTTGTTTACTTTTATTTTGATAATAGGAAGTTTCCTTGGATGTTAAAGAACCTTCCATGAATAAGAACCTTTATTTTTTTTTTTTTTTTTATAAATAACATAAATTAAATAATAGAAAATAATATGGGTGGTAAAATATGTATGGGTGTATGGTAAATATGAATAAAAAATTACATAAAAACTAAGCTGTCAACTTTTAAAGCAATATCACTTCATAAACTCACAATATGTTTATAAATACTCAATGTTGTATAAAGAAACATATTTGTACACCGCAAAAAAATAGATAAAAACATTTAAACAAATGAATGTTCTTAATCTTATTTTAAACAAAACTAAATAAAATTTTTGTTGATTTGTCAGAAAACAAAACTTTATACCAGAAATTACTTTGATTATCAGTTAGATATCTTTTGATATAAATGGATAGTTCACCCCTAAAAATTAACATTTACTGACAATTTATTCGCTCTCAAGTGGTACTAAAAACCAGTAACCATGACATCCATATATGGTAAAATCAAACTATGGAAGTCAATAGTAACAGGTTTCTTCAAAATAATCCTCTTTTCTGTTCATCAGAAGAAGGAAAGGTTTGGAACAGGTGAAAAGTAAAAAAATGTTTTTTAGGTGAATTGTCCCTTTAAGAATGTACAGCATAGATAGAAACCACAGCCCACTTCTCAATGGATTGTATAGAATGTTCTCGAAAAAAGACTGAACTTCTAAATTATTAGTTCAGTGAACAGAATTCTGTCATCATTAAACACAATGCAATCCAGTGTAACAGACCCAGAGGCAGATGGGGTTTGGATGGTTCGAAAGACCCACCTCTCACTGACAAAGGTCCAGAATTTGTCCCATACATAAGCTCAATTGTCCCATTTTGACTGCTATGCCATAATAAATTGTAAAAATAACCCAGCGAAGATGGTTTTGGCTGTCGCATCAGTGTGACTGAGGAAAATTGATTGTTCTGGCCAGTGTGTTATTTAAATGAATAATGTTTAAATGATGATATGCTAATTTTTAATGTAAAACTTTAACAGAATCTCTTTTTTTAATGATATTTGATGTAATAAATTTGTATTTGAAAAAGTAAAAAGCATTATTATAATATTTCTTCATTTTAAATCTTTGGGAAATGTTTTTGGTACCTCAAAAAGCTTGGTTATGATGATCATCCAACCAGCTAGTCCAGCGAAACAAACTGTGCTTGAAATGTCACTAAAATGCAACCAATTAAAACTTCCTAATTAAATAGAAAATGAGACGAATAACTGCAAAAAGGTCCACTTTGTAAGAAAAAAGAACCACCCCTTTCACCAGGCCCACTACAGGCCTGTGTAAAGTTCAGAACATGAGGAATACCACCAGTCTCTACTGATTTTCTTTTTTTTCCATATTTATTACATCGCAATTTATTTTTATTTTTATTATATTTTAAATAATACACATCAAATCAAGCCTGGGTACACAAACATAAACCAAAATATATGATTTAATTCACCCTCTTCATTTTTTTTTCAAAACCCAAGCATTAAATCCCAACTTTATTCCTGTTGTATGATTACTCTACTCAAAGAAGCCTTGAATGAATCCTGATCCATGCAGTGCTGTTAATCAGACGGCTTCCACCCACATGACAGTGCACAATCCCTGCAGCTCTTACCTCATCATTCAGGTTCTGCAGAAGCTCCTTTCCAGCGCTCCTTCTGATCTCCACCTTTCTCGCTTTGGAGATGTCCCTCTGCCTCTCGATCACTCCACCTCTTCCTGAGGACAGGGAGTCAAAGTCCAACGTCTTGCTATCCGATGAACCCTCCACGGGGCAGAACATGCCACAGAATTTCTGCCGGGGCTGGTTGGGGCTCGAGCTTCCCATGTTGTGGAAGAAGGCAGGCACATCTCCGGCAGCAGACATTTCTTTCTGTGAAAACTGAGTCAGACGGATGCAAAGGCATGTAAAGCTCAGGTTAGAAAGAGCTCTGTGGACAATGCATGCTAGTGTTTTCCATTGGGAGGCAATAGGTTTCCTACATTAGTCAAATGGATTAAATTACATTTATAAAAATCATCTTAATGACAACATGAGTATGAACTATAAGAAATATCTAAAAATCCTAAAAGGTTAGAAATATACAACGAAATAAATCACTTATTTGTTCAAAGTAACACACACAAGTTGTCAAAACAATATATTTCGGTATCCACAGCATATTACTATGAAATTCATCGTAATTAGCATGAAAAAAGATGCCTACTCATGTCAAACAGTAAAACACATGTCTGTGAAAACTGCAACCCACACAAATGTTATGTTATCAAACGCAGCATGTCAATGATTGTAAATCATTACATATGGACTGAAGCGATGATAGACATACAGGCAGAAAATGTTACCGTACAGGAGAACGACGGAGAATGAGGTGACGCTCCGCTGGAGAGACGAGAGAAGAAACGGCGGAAGTGATGCGGTGTTTTGAGGGTTAAAGATGTAATGTGTCCATATCTGAGGGCTCTTTCCCCGGATGACTTGTCACTTGATGCTCATTGTGAAATACCTTTGTTAGCGTTCGCTCCGTGTGTTTGGTGGACACCCGGTGAATATGTGTCGAATTCGAAAAGGTTTAGTTAGTGGAATGGAAAATGACTCTTAATTCCATTTTTAATTGTTGTTTCTTTCTTGTGAGGGGGTTTAAAGAGACGCCGTTGTTAGTTGAAGCGCCACGCCCATGCAGGTTAAAGTTATGGGCGCTGTCCGTTCAGCACCACGAGCCGGAGCCCCGACGAATCACTGAGGAGAGCTTATAATAATTTACTGTGTACATGATTGGGGTTGTGAGTGGACGTTCATACTTGTGCTCCGTCTAAGCTATTTTTTGCACACATGTCAAATAGATGCAAGTATCTGCTGTGTTATTGTTTGGTTAGCGGAAAGCAAATGTAAACGATGCAATTTGGCGAATTTCATAGATGAGTTTCATTAAGGATTATTTTAGTAAGGGAAATTACAGGCGAAGGTGCAATTGTTAGCCTATTAATTGTAGACTAATGATGAGATCATTTTCAAATAAATTAATATAAATACATAGCCATACAAACAAACATAAAATTAGTAGACTACATACAAAAAATAACTGCACAAATAAATAATAATACATTACATATATCGTAAGTATTTTTACATTGCACTAGTGCAAACAAGGCTACTTCGTTATATTCTTATAGGCTATATCATAGCATGTGTCTTCTGAGCAAAAATTATGATGACATACAGAAAACACACACTAATGTAATTTAGTGTAACAATTTCTGCACCCAACAATCATGTCAGGCACATTTAACAAGAATCAATTGATGAAATAATGCTACCCAGTTTAAACACTCCATTGTGCTGTTGAACGCAAAGGTAGATATTTAGAAAAATGCTGGATGAAAAATGCTTGTTTGCCTACAGTGTCAGTGGTTACAGGTTTCCAACATTCTTCAAAATGCATTTTTGTGCTCGATATTGAGAAAATAAATATGTTTAAACAAGTCGAGGATGGGTAAATGATGTCAAAATTTTCATTTGTGAACTATTGCTTTAACAGATTTTGATTCACTAAAAGAACTACTGCGCTCTGGATAGGTCTGCATGATTCTGTGATTCATTAAAAAGAGTCAGTGGTTCAAGAATCAAACTACACCAATATTATTGCCGTTTTCAGTAATTCAGTGGCAGTAACAACAAACATTCATTTATTCATTTTCCTTTGGCTTAGTCCCTTTATTCATCAGGTGTCATCACAGCAGAATGAACCGCCAACTTATCGTGCATATGTTTTACACAGTGGATGCCCTTCCAGCTGCAACCCAGTACTGGGAAACACCCATACACAAACATTCATACACTACGGCCAATTTAGTTTATTCAATTCACCTGTACCGCATGTCTTTGGACCTGTGGGGAAAATCGGAGCACCCGGAGAAAACCCAAGCCAACACGGGGAGAACATGCAAACTCTACAAAAAAATGCCAACTGACCCTGCCGGGACTCAAAGACTTCTTGCTGTGAGGTGACAGTACTAACCCCTTAGCCACCGTTTCACCCAGAACATACCCACCAAAATGTAAATTATTGTAACAACTTCTGTACCAAACAACCCTGTCAGACACATTTAACAATTATCAATTAATGACATAAAGGGACTCAGTTTAAAGAGCCCCCTTTGTTCTGTTGAACACAAAAGAAGATATTTAGAAAAATGCGGGAAAACTGTAACCCTTGATTTCTATAGTATTTAGATCACTGTGGATGTCAGTGGTTACAGGTTTCCAACATTCTTCACAATACATTTTTGTGCTCAATATAGAGGGAAGAAATAGTTTGAAACAAGTAGAGGATTGGTGACACGGTGGCTCAGTGGTTAGCACTGTCGCCTCACAGCAAGAAGGTCATAGGTTCGAGTCCCAGTTCAGTTGGTATTTCTGCGTGGAGTTTGCATGTTCTCCCTGTGTTGGTGTGGATTTCCTCCAGGTGCTCCCCCACATTACAAAAACGTGCGGTATAAATTAATTGAATAAACTAAATTGGCCATAGTGTATGTGTGTGAATGGGTGTTTCCCAGTACTGGGTTGCAGATGGAAGGGCATCCACTGTGTAAAACATATGCTGGATAAGTTGGTGGTTCATTCCGCTGTGAAAAAAGGGTTAAAGCTGAAGGAAAATTAATGAATGAATAAAGCCAAAGATTATATAATGTAATCACGACAATGTAAATGTAAATGACGACAGAACTTTAACTGGGTGGGTGAACTATCCCTTTAACAGATTTTGATTCATCAAAAGAACTTCTGCTCCACCATCAAACTCCACCAGCTTTAGTGCTGTTTTCAGTGGCAGTAATAACAAACATCAGTCATCATAATTGACCTTTCAAGAGTTTGCTTTTGAAAAGCAGAAAAACCCAAAACACATTGCACATGTGTTCTTTGGCTGAGTGCGTAAAAAAACTGTGAGGTGCGACATGTGTTGTCACTCACTGGGCACACATCATCCTGTTTGCTTCTCTGCTTTACAATAATAGCTCCTCAAACCCAGTTTCCATAACAACATGGGCCCTTACCCGCTCAAAAGAGTTGATGCTTTAGCAGCTACTGTCTTTCTGCGGCCTGTTGGACTGAGAGAAGAAGAGAGAGAAAGACAGTTTATGCCACAAAAAAAAAAAAAAACACAGGATCAACCTGTTTCATTAAGCTAAATGTCAATAAATCACGCACCAAACATGCATGCAAAATCCATGGTGTAAAAAGAGAACCTAACAGACTCCCAATCATAGGTAATGGAGCGCATCAGTGATCAGAAAAAAGAAAGGGGTGAGTAAATAGTGAGTATATTTTCTTTTTTGGGGTGAACTATACCTTTAAGTCATCATTTAGCCTACTACGGAACCTCAGAACACCTGCTTCAGCCAATCACAACCCTGAAATTCAATTACAGCTCCTCCCTTAGAGCCTATATACGGTTGCTATGGGTTACCATGAGGAACACTAGACCTATTCAAACTCAAAATAACTCGATATCTGTCGCCTGTTTCTAAGGTCATAGATTGACATTAGAAAATTGACAATTTATTCAGTGCATCAAACCTCGGATATTTATGTTCCCATGTATTGCAGTGAAAGAAAAGAGATGCAATCAATCATGTCAAAGCAACAGGGTTTCACTGTATCGAACTGATCACTGTGACTGATTTGCATTTGTGTGCGGCTCTGCTCCGTATGAAACGCCCTGCTGTTGCAGCAACTGCTGACTCATCAATCACCAGCTTCTGTCATGCTTTCTAGATGCTTTCAAAGATATGGCAGGGGCAAAATGTGAACAAAATACCTTCAGTTGGAGGTGACTGCATCCATAAGCAAATACCAAAGGATGTTGGGAAAACAGATGACGTGTTTTCTCATCTCCATCCATATTCAGCCGCTAAATGAACATGAGGCACTCTTTTAGTTTCCCATCCGCGCCGCTAGAGGGCAGTTGAGTATCGCTTCAGATTTGCTTCGACTCTAAACTGATTTGTCTTAAATTAAACGATTGCCAAGGGGAACTCACTAAGCAAACAGGGGCGTTTTATAGTTAGTAAACTGGCTTCAGCCTTTGCACAGAATATATTATAAATTAATTATGCAGCATTTCGCACAAATTCAATGAATGAAATGGATTCAATGGTAGCCTAGCCTAAGAACTTTTTTGCACTGCTGTAAAAAATATTCAGTGTGGATGAGGCATCAACAGATAGGTCTTATTGGCACTCATAACCGACACTGTGGTGTATATTCAACTTCCAGTGGTTTGTATGATCACGTAAAAGTAGGCCTGGGCCAGTATGATGAATAAAAATATTATGGTTTCATGTGATTACTGCTCTAAAATAAGTTCTTTTTAAAGTCTAAATATAAAACAAAAACTTTTCCCCCTTTGAACACAATATATTTTATTTGTTGAAGGATTTTTAATATTTTGGAGCAGTAACATGTCAAGCTAAATAATTCAAATAAATCATTGACTTCTGCTGTCTTCATTAGTTTCAAAAACACAGATTTCTTTACAATTTAAAACAACTTCTTTGGATATCTTTTCTGCTGGAGATACTGTTGTCCTAAAAAAATTGTAAATAAAAAATCTTACACACACCTTAGGAGCGGTGTTACAGAAAATGTTGACAGTTTTAAAACCTTGACTTTTCCAAAGCACAGTATACCTTGAAAACGGTTAGTGTCCCATGCTTATGTAAAAGCTATGAATTTGGGACGTTTTTTTCCAAAACAAATTTCTGTCTTTAGTTTTAAATATGGTAACAAGCAGTTTTACTGGAACACGTTGAATCATTTATTGAGCATCAGCAAATAGTTCATTTAATTTGTTAAAACATTAACTTTAACAGTTTTATTAACAGTAGTAAGCAGTTTATAACAGCTACAAATTCTGGATTCTACGTTCTCAGAAATAAGGAACGGGAGTTGTCACTGCGGTGGTACCTTTTTAAAAGGTACCCATTTGTACCTAAAGGGTCTATGTTGGTACCTCAAAAGTATATATTAGTATTTAAACATTTTAACAAAAACACTTCTGTACTTTTTAGATACTAATATGTACTCTTGAGGTATTAATATGGACCTTTTAGGTACAAATGTGTACTTTTTGAAAAGATACCACCCCAGTGACAGCTCATGTACCTTTATTTCTGAGAGTGTCGACTTATAAGCTTTAGTACTGCAATTTTTACAAACCAGTTATATTTAGCTTTTAAAGACAATTTGGAAGGAGTAAGTAAACAATAAACTAATGGACAGCTATACACTCACCAGCCACTTTAGAAGGTAAACCTTACTAGTACAGGGTTGTACTCCCTTTTGCCTTCAAAACTGCCAAAGTAATTGAACAAGTTATAATTGAACAAGGGTTGGGTTCCACGCCTCCTTTAAAAATCATACATTTTCGTATGACTAAACTCGTATGAGTTTGTACGTATTATCCACTAAACTGACAAAACGTAAAATACTTACGTTTCCTCATGAGATCAGGTTGTCCATGATGCGAATCTCCTGTTTCATCACATCCCAAAGGTGCTCTATTGGATTGAGGATCTGGTGACTGTGAAGGCCATTTGAGTACAGTGAACTTATTGTCATGTTCAAGAAACCAGTC